AGTAACATATTGTTCATTTTCCATGTGATGTAGGATTTTTCCTTCCTTCTTTTATCATTGATTTCCAGTTTCATTCCATTATAATCAGATAAAATGCATGGTATTATCTCCACCCCTTTATATTTACTGAGGGTTGCCCTATGGCATAATATATGGTCTATTTTTGAGACGGATCCATGTGCTACTGAGGAAAAAAGTATATCCACTTGATGATGGTTGATATATTCTATATATGTCAGTTAAGTCCAGGTTATTGATTGTGATAATGAGTTCTACAGTTTCTTTATTCAACTTTTGTTTGGAGGATCTGTCCAATGGTGAGAGAGGTGTGTTGAATTCACCCATAATTATTGTGTTGTGGTCTATTTGATTCTTGAATTTGAGGAGAGTTTGTTTTATGAATGTCACAGCACCCTTATTTGGTGCATAAATATTGATAATTGTTATGTCTTGTTGGGGAATGTTTCCTTTTAACAGTATATAATGTCCTTCCTTATCCCTTTTGATTAACTTAGACTTGAAGTTGATTTTATTTGATATAAGGATGGCCACCCATGCTTGCTTACGAGGACTGTGTGTGTGGTATATTTTTTCCCAACCTTTCACCTTCAGCCTGTGTATGTTTTTTCCAATCAGATGTGTCTCCTGGAGGCAGCATATGGTTGAATTTGTTTTTTCAATCCATGTTACCAGCATATTTTGCTTTATTGGTGAGTTTAAGCCATTAACGTTTAGAGTTACTATTGATATATGGTTTGTACTTCCAGCCATGTTTGATTATTTATCTTTTTTTTAAATTTGGTTTGTTTCTCCATGATTAGCTTTCCCCCCACCCTCTGGATTTACTGAGGTACTTCCCACTGTTGGTTTTGGTTATTGTTTTTCATTTCTTCCTCATGTAGTGTTTTGCTCAAGATGCTTTGCAATGCTGGTTTTCTGGCTGCAAATTCTTTTAACTTTTGTTTATCATGAAAGATTTTTATTTCGTTGTCATACCTGAAGCTTAATTTTGCTGAATACAAAATTCTTGGTCGGCATCCATTGTCTTTCAGTGTTTGAAATATGTTGTTCCAGGATCTTCTCGCTTTCAGCGTCTGTGAGGAAAAATCTGTTGTTAAACTTATTGGTTTACCCCAGAATGTAATCTTCCTCCTTTCTCTCTTTGCTGGTGGGACTGCAAATTGGTGCCACTAATTTGGAAGGCAGTATGGAGATTCCTAGGAAAGCTGGGAATGGAACCACCATTTGACCCAGCTATTGCCCTTCTAGGACTATTCCCTGAAGACCTTAAAAGAGCATACTATAGGGATACTGCTGCATCGATGTTCATAGCAGCACAATTCACAATAGCTAGACTGTGGAACCAACCTAGATGCCCTTCAATAGATGAATGGATTAAAAAATGTGGCATTTATACACAATGGAGTATTACTCAGCACTAAAAAATGACAAAATCATGGAATTTGCAGGGAAATGGATGGCACTAGAGCAGATTATGCTAAGTGAAGCTAGCCAATCCCTAAAAAACAAATGCCAAATGTCATCTTTGATATAAGGAGAACAACTAAGAACAGAATAGGGAGGAAGTGCATGAGAAGAAGATCACCATTAAACAGGGTCGAGAGGGTGGAGGGAAGGAAAATTGCATGGTAAAGGAAGGAGACCCTCATTGTTATACAAAATTACATATAAGAGGAAGTGGGGGGAAAGGGGAAAAAACAAGAGAGAGAGAAATAAATTATAGTAGATGGGGTAGAGAGAGAAGATGGGAGGAGAGGGAAGGGAAGGGGAGAGGGGATAGTAGAGGATAGGAAGGGCAGCAGAATACAACATACACTAGTATGGCAGTATGTAAAAAAGTGGATGTGGAACCGATGTGAATCTGTAATGTGTGTACGGGGTAAAAATGGGAGTTCATAATCTGCTTGAATTAAATGTATGAAATATGGTATGTCAAGAGCTTTGTAATGTTTTCAACAACTAATAATAAAAAAGGAAAATAAATTTAAAAAATAAATAAAACAAAATGGTATTGCTGTATTTTATATAATACTAATTAATGTAGCTGTGTTTAATCACCTATTAGAATCAACAATAAACTGTAGTAATTTTGGAGAGCCCTTTATTCACAAAGAAAGGTCTTGCATCCGATTGATGTATTACACAGGTAATGGAAGAAAACAGAAGCCCTTAATCTCTTCTGAATCTGGCAAATCTTCTCATGCTAAGTCAAGATGCAAGGCCCCTGGGTAGAGAGGGGAAGTGGACAGCTGCTGTTCACCCACTGACAGGCAGACCTGGAGAGGAGGTCTGAGCTGGCGGCTGAATTCCTGTGGGTGGCGCACTTATCCAAAGCTGAGAGTAATAATGGGCCACGTCCTCAGCCTGGAGGGTGCTGATGGTGAGAGTGAAATCTGTCCCTGATCCAGTGCCACTGAATGGGACCCGAGCTGCCCTTGTGGATGCCCAGTAGATGAGCAGCTTAGGAGCCTGTCCTGGCTTCGGCTGATACCAGGCCAAGTAGTCCTTATTATCTGAATCCCATAAAAGACTGTGTCTGGACTTACAGCTGAGGGTGACCTTCTCTCCTGCAGGCATAGCTAGGGAGCCTGGAATCTTGAGTCATCACGATGTCCCTACAGGTATCTGAAACCAGGACTGAATAATAAACTTACAAGCGCACACACCATCATGCTCAAAATAATAGGCTACTTAAAATGTGCTTTCTAAACATAATTCATGAATTAATTAGATTCATAAATAGTCATTCTTGCACACTAAGTCATAACCTTACTTTAAATAACATTATAAATAATTGAAATGAATTTTATAATGAAACATATTTTCTGACCACAATTGCTCACCTGAGGCCCAGAGCCACAGGAGCGTGCAGTGCACATTGGGTCTGGGACACCATCCTGCTGCCCCTGCCTGCCTGACACAGCTCAGGTCTCATGCCAATGCCCTTGCTTATAAAATGTGAGCAGCTGGTGAGGCCTGCAGGAGCCTATGCAAAAAGGCAGCAAGTAGGTCAGTAAATTGGCTGGACAGTGAGTGGGGGAAGCATCTGATGTCAATCAAGACCCCAAACCACCAATGTTTCATGGAGGGACCATAAAACACAAAACTCAAAATAGAATTAAAGGCAACAGACCACTAGATGGTCAAAGGAATAGTTTAGTTTTCAATCAAAAACATGTTTTCATTCATTGAGTTTCACAGAATTGAAAAATGATATCTCAGATAAACAAACAGGTGAATTAATAAAGCACACTAGAGAAAAAGTAAAAAGAATGAGAAGGAAAGAAAGGGAAAAAGGGAAGGAGATAGGGAGACAAAGACAAGTAACAACCTTGGGGCCACTTTCCATCCCACATGACCAGGACAGACTTGAGCTGAGGCCACCTTGGCCCTGAGGCTGTGACAGCATTGCCCACACCAGGGCTCAGGACCTGGCTCTGCAGCCACAGCCAGAAGGCAGCCCAGAACCCACTCCTGGGAGCCCTGCAGGGCCCCATTCAAGCCAGGGGTTGGGCTCCAAGCTAGGGTCAGTGTGACCAGGACCCTGGACACCATCCTCCCAGGACTGCCAGGACTTCAGCAGGCTCTGAGTAAGCAGGGAGGGGGAGGGAGAAGCAGGATCCCCTGGGAAGTGGGACTGCCCCCACCCTGCCAAGGCTGCTATTCCAAGGTGCATGTTGGAGAGGAGAAGGGCCACCATCCTGCCTCAGTTACAGCCTCACTGCTGAGCAGCCATGTGGAGCCTCTGAGGAGACATGGCCACCCCAAGTCCTCTTGAATCCTCACACATGGTCCTGTAAGGTTCAAGACAACAGAGTCGGAGATTTCTGCATCCAAATTCAGAAGGACAACTTGAGTAGGAATGAAAATAATACAAATAATAGTAAAAGAGTTCTCTGCCCAGATGTCAGATTTGGAGCTGTGAAAGCATATCGAAAAAACAAATCATAAAAATGACATGATGGGCCAGGACATGGACTAAAAAAATTAAAACACATGAATAAACTAAATATTATTGACACCTGAGGGTATTTCATATTCAAGCAAATTATACAATTTACCATGAAATTTTAGCTTTAAAGCCAGAAAGATTATTAATATCCAAATAATTATTAATGTTTTCACTTAGTCAATGTGATCTTCCATTTTTATCTCATAGAAATAATATGGTAACATCAATTCGTCAGTTATAAAACATTAATACACATTCCTGTAATCAGATTCACACTTCACCTGGGGCTGCTGGTACTGCAACGTGAGAACACAAAACCCAGGCTTGGGGAGGTCCTCAATTCCTCAGGGAAAGACCGTGAAAAATCAGAAAGTCTCCCCCACCCACCTCCTACCAAGTGGTCCTGCCCTGGGACCCTGTCAAACTCAACATTTGCTTCATTTCCCCTCCAATCAGCTCCAACTCATTTTCTTTCATTTCACATACATGTGCTCATTCAGATAAG